ACAGACCTAGGGCTGCCTCTTCTAGCTGTGAGCAGGGTGCAGGAAGTGGGGCATGCTTGTCAGGTATCTGCAGACATTATCTATTCGAAATAGACACTAACAGTACCTATTTTTTCCCTGGGTTGTGGCTATTGTATCTGGATGTATCATGAAAAATAATGTAAAAATTATATACTTTGTAATTTCGTAAATGCTAGAGGGATCATCGCCATTAAGGATGAGATGATTTTTTACTTTCACTTTTTTACTTCTTACTTTTACAAATGCAGCTATTATATATGTGAATTTAAATATGTGGTTCACATTGCATTTCTGTTGGACAACGCTGCACTGGAGGTATACTTAGCAACAAATTTATCATGTCAGGTTTACCAGGAAGCTGTTTCTTCTCCTAACCCTCTATCTGGTGATGCGGACCTACTCCAAATCCTTAGTAAATATGGAAAGTCCATCCCTATGTAGCAAACGGCAACCGGTATTGCCTTTGATATTCACCCAGAACACTCTCCAATTTACCTGTATTGTTATAACATGCAGCCCATTGACAATACTTGAGATAGGCAGATTAGAACATTCCCCAAGATCCTGAATCTTCTTTAACATGTGAAAGTTCCTCCCTTATCTTTACTTCCCCTGACCCCAAGGTATATAATCACTTGCTCCTCATAATCCCAGGGCAGCAGGGAGAAGCTCTTCCTGCCCGCGGGTCCTGTCCCTGTGCTTTAATAAAACCACCATTTTGTACCGAAGACGTCTCAAGAATTCTTTCATGGCCATTGGCTCCGGACCCCACAAACAACACACCAGCATTCAAAAAAACTACATTATTGTCATGAGGAGGAATTTCCAGGACAGACACAGCGCAGCTAACAAGTGACACAAGTGGGAAAGTTTATTGCAAGGTGGGGGAGGGGAGAGGGAGAGAAAGTATGGGATGTGTGCCCTGGGGGGGTGGAGGTTCTATCTTTTATTGACAGTTGTTAACTAGGGGGCAGAATATTAATTACTTGGGGCAGGAAACAGGTTTTCGAGCTTTTTCTTCCTTGTTTGGTCAGGGGTTTCCTGTCACGGCATCCGCCATCTTGGGCCTGTCTGGTTTGATCTGGCTTCTAGTGAAGGGCTGCCAGGACAGGCCTCTGACCTTCCCAATAGCTGGCCATGGCTTCCTCGCTGCTGCTTCCTGGTCTCCTGTTAGAACTTAACTGCCTAAGCTAACACACTGACTGCTTTTGTTTCCCACAGTCATTCGGCCTGATTAAAACTTTAAGTTTCTTTCCCTTCATCTGAGGGAACCCATCTTGTTTGTTAGCTGCTGCTGTCTAATTATTGGGGTCTTTTGTTCTCACTCGTGTTGGTCAGTGAATACCACCCAGTCTTGAGCTCAGAGGAAGTGGAGAGTGAATCTGCTGATGTGGTCTGGATTTCCCAGTTCAGTGTTTTCCAAAAGCTGTTCCCAGTCACACAACTCCTTGAGAGGCTTTTTGGAATGAAGGGTTCCATGGTAAAAATAATGCAGAACATTCTGCTACGCTGTTCCTCTCCTTGTATATTCATAATGCCCATTAAAGGCTCCAAGAAGCCCTATTGCAAAGAAAACTTTTAAACTAAGTTTTATAAGGCATTTGCCAAAGCTAGGTAACCACAGAATCTTTTTTCCTCCGTAGCTTGTATCACTGTCCCTCAGAACAGATGTGCCCAAGGTCACCCTTCAGGAAATGCTGATCCAGTGCTTTATTTGGAAAGACAGATGAAGAGACTCTCTGAAGACTTCCTGGGCTACCTGGCTGCTCTTGGCCTTGGCCTTAGCCCCTGGCTTGGGTGACTTCACAAAGGCTCCCCACAGGGGACCTGACTGTTTATTCCAAATTTCTGCCTTAACAACCGTCATTTTCCCCATCCCTCTGCATCTCCTATTAGGTCTAGCAATTCTGTTCATCTTTCCACCTTGGTATCAAATCACCTTCTGCTTGGTGATGGGACTCCTGTTTGCCATGGATATGGGGCCATCTTTGTGTAGAGAGACCTTCAAAGCTCAAAGAGAGCCTGGATGAATTGCAAAGTCAAATGGAGCCAGGGCCCTCTGGGCAAATGGCTTTTCTTGCCAAGGTATAACCGCAGTGGCAGCAGCAACCTCTGTTCCAGCCAGTTTTCCTCCTCCCCCAGCCTCTCTCCACAGCGACCTGGCTAAAGAGACTCCAACCATCCTTTAACCTTCAAGGAAAACAAGGGGCCTGTGATCTCCAGAGCTAAATTGTCATAGGCCCCACCCTCACTGGATTTCTGAAGGTCAAGGCACAGAGTCAGCCCAGCCAGCTCTGTAAGGACTCATAGCAAATGTGTTTTCACAGATCCCAGATGGAGGCTCCTCAAATACATGGAAACTCAGTAAATTCTGCTTCTATTTTCAAAATAAGTCCAGCAAGCTGACAACGAGCACCTTGGTCCAAGGCACTATCATCTCTCACTTGGATTACTACAATCAGCACCTGACTGGTCCCCCTAAGCTCACCCTTGCCACCGTAAAGTCTATTCTCACCACAACAGCCAAAATGGTCCTTCTAAAATGTGTGTTGTAGGGGCACCTGGCTGGCTCAGTTGTTAAGCATCTGCTTCGGCTCAGGTCATGATCCCAGGGTCCTGGGATCAAGCCCTGCTTTGGGCTCCCTGCTCCGCAGGAAGCCTGCTTCTCCCTCTCCCACTCCCCCTGCTTGTGTTCCCTCTCTCACTGTGTCTCTCTCTGTCAAATAAATGAATCTTAAAAATAAATTAATAAAATGTGTGTAGTATTTGTCACTTCTTTGCCTAACACTAAGCAATAGCTTCTCCTTACACTTGAGACTAAAAGCTAAAGCTTTGCAATGTTCTACAAGGTGTTACATGATCTTGCTCCTCCTTGAACACACCAGTTATCCTTCCGTTCAGGGCTTATGTAACTTCTGATACCCACATCACGCTTCATCATGGTCTTGACTCAAATGTCACCTTATCATGAGGTCTCCTTGATCATTCACCATAACCCCACTCCCTCACCATCTCCGTCTCCCTTTTATTTTCCCTCATTGTACTCAATACCAATTGATGTACCATACGTTCATTTGTTTAATTGTTTATTGCCTGACTACCCCTCTTCCTATCAGATTGTGAGCTCCAGGAAAGCTGGGCCTTTGTTTTGTTCACTGCCATACTTAGAGTGTAGGTCAGTGTCCGGCACATGATAAAGCACTCAAATATTTGTGGAATGAGTAAATTCTTTAGCATTTGAAATCAGAATTTTAAATCTAGAAGGCCCTTATAAATGACGTAGTTTAATCTCCTCATTTTAAAATTGAGGAAATTATTGCCCAGTTGGTTGAAATGACTCGTTCAAGGATATACAGGTAGTTGGTGTTAGAAACCTTTACATACACAGTTTTGGACTGTACTATACATTTTGCTTTAAAATTTGGCCTTTGCACTCAGTATTGGGTCTTGAGCTTCCCTCCACTTCATAATGTCCATTTCAGTTATCACTTTAAAATCTGTTCTACTTCTGAAGATACTCAAGCTAAGTTACTAAACATAAGTGGATATATTTAAGTGTGTGTATGAAGTTAGCACTGCAACGTAAGCTCCTCTATATTGGAACATTTCTGAATTAAAAGATAAAGAAATTAAAGACTTTGGAAGAGCGCCTGTGTGGTTAATGTCCAGGTATGGAGGTGCTTGCTTTAGCTATCCCTAGAATTCTTGGGGGGTGGGTGGATGGGTGGGGCTTTGAGCTGCTGAGGGCTGGGAGAGAATGTTGGAGGAGCCTGGAGAAAACAGTCCCTGAACAGGCCAGGGCACAGATCCAAGGCCAGGCCACCTTCCCTCCTGAGCTGAGGACCCTTCTCTTGCAGGACCTTGGCTAAAATGTCCCAAATGTGATACCCAGGCCTTGCTGGCCTAGACTCGAAGAATGAATGAATTTAAAGCGGACAACTCCTCTTTCTTCTGGGGCTACAAAATAGGTTAAGCCCTCTGAGAAGAATCCTTTGAATTACACAAAAGTCAACTTTAAGTTCCTTTAATAAACTACTGAAGTTTAATGTATCACATTCATGCGATGTATCACATACTCTTAGATACTGCCCTGGTCAGTGTAGCAGGGAGTGTCTCTGCCTGCCACCTGGGAGACTCAGGTCCCACTCCCCAATGGGCAAATGACAAAGACATTTTGTTTTCTTTCCTCCACTTCCACACTCACGTCTCCGAAAAGTCTCCTCCTTTTGGCATACTGTGCTTTTCCAGCCAGCCTCTGGGACAATGCCCCTTGGGGACACAAGCGGGGCATCAGGGACAGGTCTCAAGAGCAGGGTAGTTCCACCACAGCTCATGCGCCGCCTCCTTCCAGGCCCCCGGCTCCTCAGAGGAGAGCGACTTGGTAAAGAAGGGGGACCAACACAAAAGGCTTCAGCTAGCTGGTTTCGTTTAGTTCAGTGTCACAAATCCAAGAATGGAAAAGGACTTAGTTCAAACAAGTGTGCGACATAAAAACGTCACGTTGCATTGGCCGGGAATCGAACCCGGGCCTCCCGCGTGGCAGGCGAGAATTCTACCACTGAACCACCAATGCTGACACTGTGACCTCTTCTGGCGCCATCCTGTAACTTCATCTGCTTCCCTAGCTCCGTTCCACTACGGGAAACAGGTCCTTGCTGAGTCACCCTTTAGAAAGTAGCCCCTTTATGTTTCAAGACAGAAAAACGTTACGACTCGAAAAAGAACAACAATAAAAAAGGCTATAGGAAGTCCTGGCTCGGAGGCCACGGCTCTATTCGCACAGTGCCACGCGCTGTCGGCTTCCGCGGCTGCAGCTGTCGGACCCGCCCTCTTCAACCGTCCAGCGGGAGCATTTGTTCTCTCGCCGAGCTGCGGCCTTCAGTGGCTTCCGACCGCGCTTGGAACCGGCCGGGAGGAGCTGAACTTTCCCCGCCGCTGAGCCAGAGGCGGGTGGCCGGCAGGCGGCGCGGCGGCAGGGAATGACAGGCTCGTGGAGGCCGAGCCCCGCGGCCTCGAGTCCCGCGTCCCGTGAGCGCGAGAAGCCCCAGCGACAGCCGCCCCAGCGAGGTGGGCGTGGGCACGGACCCGGGCTCCACGCGCTCGTGCCTGGGCGTGGGGTACGCGCCACGCTAGGTGGCCTTCCCCGACCCCGCGCCGCTAGGGTGCGGGCCGCCGAGAGCCCCGCGCACCGCCCGGTTGGACGCCACGAGGCTGGTTCGCGGACGCGGCGGTGCAGGCGTCCGTATCACCGGCCCTTCCCGGGGGCGAGTGAGGGGGGCAAGGCCTGGGTGCGCGTGTCCTACCGCGGGCAGGACAAGGCCTGCTACCCCGAGGAGGTCTCGTCCGCTGTGCTGGACCAGGGGAAGGAGACAGTCCGCCTGCTTCAACGACTCGAGGCGCCAGGCCACCAATGACGCGGGTGCCATCGCGGGGCGCCACCGGCTGCGGATCATCAACAAGGCCACGGCGGCCGCCCTTGCCAACCGGCTGCCCCGCGGGGCGCCAGAGAGCAAAACGTGCTCATTTTCGCCCTGGGTGGGAACACCCTCGCCGTAAGGGTCCTCACTATGGACGCTGGTGTCTTCCAGACGTCTGAGGCTGGAGACGCTCGCCGGGGCGGAGAGAACTTCGGCAACAGGTTGGTGAGCCACTTCATGAGGGACCTCGGTGGGAAGCGCAGGGAGGACTTGAGCGGGAACAAGCAGGCTCCACGCAGGCTTCGTACGGCCTGTGAGAGCGCCACGTGCCCTCTGACCTCCGGCGCCCAGGCCGCTCTGGAGATCATTCCCTGTTTGAGGGCGTGGACTTGTATACGTCCATCCCTCGAGCCTGCTTTGAGGAGCTGAGCTTAGTTGTTTTGCGCAGCGCCTTGGACTGGGTGGAGAAGGCCCTGCGGGACGCCAAGCTGGAGAAGGCCAGATCCACGACATTGTCCTAGTGGACAGGACTTCTTTGGGGGCAGGGAGCTGAACAAGAGCGTGAACCCTGATGAGGCTGTGGCTGTGGGGTTGCTGTGTAGGTGGCTATGTTGATGGGGGATGAGTGTGAGAAAGTGCAGGATCTCCTGCTCTGGACATGGCTCCCCTGTCCCTGGGGCTGGAGACAGCAGGCGGGGTGATGACCACGCTGATCCAGAGGAATGCCACCATCCCTATCCAACGGACCCAGACTTTTACCACCTACTCAGACAACCAGCCTGGGGTCCTGACCCAGGTGTATGAGAGTGAGGGGGCCATTAACAGGGACAATCACCTACTGGGGCACTTTGAGCTCATTGGTATCCCTCCTACAGCACATGGAGTCCCCCAGATCAAGGAGACCTTTGACACTGATGCCAACGGCATCCTGAGTGTGCAGCTACTGTCAGGAGCCCAGAGAAGGCTAACAAGATGGCCATCACCAACAAGGGCCGGCTGAGCAAAGAGGACTTTGAGAGGGTGGTTTCAGAGGCTGAGCGGCACAAGGCTGAGGATGAGGCCCAGAGGGACAGAGTGGTTGCCCAGAACTCCCTAGAGGCTAGTGTCTTCCATGTGAAGGGCTTGGGGCAAGAGGAAAGCCTTAGAGACAAGATTTCCAAAGAGGACAGGCACAGGGTACAAGACAAGCGTCAGGGAGTTCTTGCCTGGCTGGAGCACAGCCAGTTGGCAGAGAAGGAGTGTGAGCATCAGAAGAGGGAGCTGGAGCACATCTGTCGCCTCACCTTCTCCAGGCCTACAGAGGGCCTCTTGTCCCCGGGGGTGGTCGTTGTGGAGCTGAAGCTGACCCGGGAACCCCCAGTAGGGCCCCGACATTATGGAGGTAGATGGAATGGCCCCTCTGACAAGTCCTCTGTGACATAAGGGCTGGACTTGTGTGCCTTCTAGACTGTCTTCTGTGATCTGGCCGTGAACCCCAGGAATGGGGGTGGAGGGGAATCTTCCTCCCAAACCAGGAGATTTCTTTGCAGTATGTTGTATAATTGAGGTCTGTGTCATTTCACTTTAAAAAATCCCCTTCTCCCATTTCAGACAGGCAGAAGTATTTATTATTATTATTATTATTATTAAATATATTATTTATTTATGAGAGAAAGAGAGAGAGAGAGCACGACCCGGGGGGAGGGGCAGAGGGAGAAGGAGAAGCAGGATCCCCACCGAGCAAGGAGCCCCACACAGAGCTCAGTCCCAGGGCCCTGAGATCATGACCTGAGCCAAGGGCAGATGCTCAACTGACTGAGCCACAGGCGCCCCCGGAAGTAATTATTATTAACATTTGTGTGGCACTTCAACATCTCTTTTACCTACTTTTTTTTTTTGTTACTTGCATGTATGGATTTTGTTAATATATATGGATTTTGTGAAATACAGATCTAAACTTTTTAAAACTCCTCCTTAGTTTTCATTCTAACCAATTAAATACGTAAAGAGGCAAGGCTTTCGGAAGCAGAAAATGTTGGGGTCGCTATTGAAGGAGGGATATGAAGAGAACTTGCAACCCTGTGTGTGTGATTTCCACAGAAGGAAACAGGGTAAGGAGATTTTAAGGCAGACACGTTGAGACAGTAGTAAAATCTGAGGGCTGATAGGAGAGAACTGTGAGTTATCAGGGGAAGAGTGAAGGAGATAGAGTCAGAAACGTGGAGAATGGAGAGAAACTAAGTCCCGGCAAGGTTCCCATGTGTGACCCTAAGATAAAAAATCCTGTATTGGGATTCTAGTTTAGTTTGTCTAGTGTCCTAATACTCTGAGAAATAATTTATATGCTAATTAGCTGTCTCTAAGCAAGTGACCTATCCATTGTTCTTTCAGAGAACAAACCCCAATCCTGGACTCTGGAGATGTAGTTCCTCCTGACTCTGGAGAGAGTACATGGAGCGGTGTGATTAAAGTCACTGTTGATCTTATGTGTGTGAGAGAAATAGCATGGGCCCATCTGGTTTCTGCTGATGGGCCCTAGAGTGATGATGATGATGATGATGATAGTAATTAATAATAATAATAATAATGGCAGCCGTGTATCATAATGGCAGTATTGGGACCGGACTGCTTAGGTTTTCAGCTCTGTTCCTTTATATATGGTGCAAGTTAAACTCTCTGAGGTTTGGTCGCACTTTCTGTATGGGGGGGGGTGATGAAATAGGACTTATCTCAGGATTGCCAAGAGGGTTCAATTAATTAATATATGTAAGAAGTGACAAAGAATGTTAGGCATATAGCATATGAGCAACAAATAGTAGCTATTACTAATTATCTTAGTTAAGTGGCAACTACGTAGCAGGTACCTGACATGCATAATCTAATTTAATCCCCACTGCAACATCACAAGGTAGTAGCTCTTTTGGAGCCTGAGGATTCTGAGGTTCAGAGAGGTCAAACCCTTTACTCAAGGTCACATAGCGATTAAGTGTGTGTGTTGGGGGGGGGTTGGAATTGAGAATCCTGTCCTGCCTGATTCTGGAGCTTGTGCATTGTCGCCTCACAAATAGGCCGCAACTCTACTGATTATCAGAACTTCCCCCAGATGTTGTGAAATTGGATATGTTATTCCTGTAGAACGGTTGGATGCTGAGCCCTGAGAGAAAAGTGTATATTTTATTGTATTATTTACATTATTCATTAAGTGAATATGTGCTTTTTATAGCAAATGACTGAAGCTGGGAAGTCTCCTCAGGCTCAATTTTACTGCCAGTTAAGTAAATGACACTCTGAGAGCAAGGATAGACTTGCATTAGTTAGTTCCCAGTTAACCCAGTTCACACTGTATCTCTCCTATGAGCAATAGGAGATGCATTTTTATCTCAGAGATGCAGGTGGGTTTGGCTAGAGGGAGGTTACATTAACAACAGCTAAGGGTTGTCTCTAGTGGGTGGAGAGGGGGTTGCAGAAACAACTACCCCTCCTGTACCTGTCATTTCACATTTTTAACTGCTCTCCTTTCCTTGCATCTGGCCTTCATCCTGGGCATCCTGGTTTCAACTGAAGGAACCTGCCCCCAAAAGAGGACATCGAATACACATTCAGTATTACACTTTCCCTTTCCTGAATTTCCTCCCAACTTCCAACATGGACCACCCCACCTGTTTGTTCCTCCAAGAGGAATGATGGTACTTGTGTTGTCTGGTGAATGGGGGAGACCCTGGGCCCTGGGGCCTCGACCCAGCCGGACCCCAAGGATTCGCCAAAGGTTCTTATAGTCTTGTCACGCGAATGAATTCAAGGGCAGACAACAAAGCACAGTGGACAAGTGACACAAGCGGGAAAGTTTATTTAAAGTGAAAAGTACACTCTTGAGATATGAGGAGCAGCCAAGTGAGAGGGAGGGAGGGAGGGAGGGAGAGAGAGTGCACGAGCCATGTAAGCTTGGGGTTGTGTTTCTTTTATTCACAGCTGTTAACTAGGGGGCAGAATATTTATTACTTGGAGCAGGAAGCAGGGTTTCAAGCTTTTTCTTCCTTATTTGGTTAGGGGTTTCCTGTCATGGCATCCACCATCTTGGGCCTGTCTGATTTGATCCGGCTTCTTGTGGAGGGCTGCCAGGACAGGCCTCTGACCTTCCCAATAGCTGGCCATGGCTTCCTCGCTGCTGGCTTCTGGGTCTTCTGTTGGAACCTAACTAACTGCTTAATCATAACACTCACAGGGTTTGCATAGTTTCTTAGCATTTCAATAACATATATCTCATTCTCTCTTTAAAAACACATATAGGGTATAAGAAGGAAAGTTCTCTTGTGCTTAGTTGTGAAACATTTCAGATCCTCTCATTTGTGTTGTATCTATTTTTCCATAGAAGGATTTAAACACACTACTTCATCTACTATTAAATGACTGTTGTTAACGGTTTTGTTTCTTTGGGAACTGTTTCTTGAATAACAGGCATCTTTAAAGAACAAAATCTCAACTGAGTAAATCTGAAGAGCTCATTGGCTTGAGTAAGTGATTCAAGAATTGGGCAATATCCCATCTAGCAAGTAAAGGGGAGCTCCAAGGCCTTGGTCAAAATGGAAGGTTTTTATAGGAAGAAGGGTGGGGCAAGGAAGTTATTAGCAAAAGAAAAGAAAGGATTGTTCCAGACAAGGTCACCTTCCCTTAGGGGTAAGAGCAAGCAAGGGGTCTTACCTCCTCTTCCTTTGGGGGATGGAGAGGGCCCGTGTGAGCGATTCCCTCACTGGTGCTGACTAGAACATCCCTGACTGACTGGTTAAGACTACATTTCTGTGGGACGTTGAAACTGCAATTGGATTAGGTATTAAGCCCCAGTTTGGTGACTTGGCCCAGCATTGAGTGACTCCATCTTGGGCCTGTGTAACTTTTTAACACAGTTTGATTAGTGTAATAACAACTATGTCACCCAGTTCCTCCTCAAAAATCTGACAGCAAATTAAATCAAAATACATGCCCATTATTTAAAAATCAAATCTTGCTACAAGCCTTCTAATGAAAAAGCAGCATTTTCTTGCCCCACTTTCAATTCCTCACAGGCAGCCATTTTCAAGTTTGTTTTTTTTAAGGGCCTTTTTATTGTGCAATAATTTTTGGTTGACCGAGGAGTTGTGAAGATACTACAGAAAGTCACTGTATATACCTCACCCAGCTCCCCGTAAGGTTAAGATCTGACTTATCAAACCTAAAAAGCTGACATTGGTATAATGAACTGTAGACTTCATGTTTTTCCACTAATTTTTTTTTTTTTTTTTTTTTACTGTTTCAGATTTAATTTGCTGATCCAGGATCCTGTGCTGCATTTAGTCATCATGTCTAACCCACAGTCTGACAGTTTCCCAACCTTCCCTTGTGTCTCATGACCTTGGCGTTTTCAAGAGTACTGGCCAGGTATTTGGCAGCTTGTCCCTCAATTTGGGTTTATCTGATGTTTTTCATGATCACCAGGTGAAGATGGCAGGCCCATCTCCATGAATTTGACCAGGGGTATGTGATAGCAATGGGACGAGTCACGAGTGATGTTCACCTTGATCATGTGGTTAAGGTCAGCTTTATTTTTTTTACATGTCTCTCTTAGGAATGCGTTGTCATTGTCTTTTGTTTAGACACAGTTTTTAATTTAACTTTTGATCTTGTGTTCTAAGCACAGTGTCTGACATATGTGAGTAAAAGTTGCCTTGGTGAGAAGGGAAAGGATATTCCAAGTTCAAGATCAACCTGTACAAAGGTACCTAAATTCGACAGACCAGGGTTTCTCAAGCTTTCATATGCACATGCATGACTTGGAGATCTTACAAACTTTGGATTTGGTGGGTCTGAGGTGCGGCCTGCAATCTGCATTTCTAATAAACCCCTAGGCTCTCACCTAAACCTCCCAACAACTCTGTATAGGTTATACTGCAGGCAGACTTCCCAAGATCAAGGTCTAGTAAATAACAAAGAAGGCAGTTTGTTTGGCAAACTTTCCCCAATCGACCTGAAGAATCCTTCCATCCTCACCATCCTCACACTTGTGAACTTCACATATTCAGCTTCTTCATCTTGACAATTGTATCCTCTTCCCAGAAGAGCAACAGGATTTTTTCATAACCAGTTCTTCCTACATCTGAAAGCACCTTATTTGTGATCTTCAGGAAAAAGTAGCTCATGCAACAACAAACTCCGCAAGTTTACCTTTCCTGTGTATTACTTTTACTTATTTGTTCTATTGACTTCATTTCCTGGGTGTTGGTTACACAGCAAACGTACTGGATTAGAATTGGTGGTGGCGTTAGAGTCAGCAGCTGGTTGGGTTTTAACCTGGTGCCTGGAGGCCGGCAAAGGAGTCAGGGTGAGCTATCGGGGAAAGTCAGATACCTAGCCTGGCAGCATTCCAAAATTAAAGCCACAAGAAAGCCAGATCAAACCAGACAGGCCCAAAACAAAGAAGGCCTGAGCCTGACCAAATCAGGGAGAAAAGTCCACAAACCCTGCTCCCAAAGAAATCTCCCCCCAACTAATAAATACTCTACCCACTGGTTAACAACTGTCAATAAAAGAGAGAGACCCAAACCCCGGGCCCAGCTCTCTCTTAGGCACTCCCGCTCTCATATCTCTAGAGTGCACTCTCTTTCTCTTTAATAAACTCTTCACTTTCGCTGCTCAACCATCGTCTGGGCCCTCCTTGAATTTTTCTCTTGCCACGAAACTAAGAGCCTCCAGTCACATCTGAGGGACTGGCTGAGTGGAGGCCTCCGGGTCCAGGGGTCTCCCCAGTCCACTCTGCAACAGTAGGAGTGGGTCGCACAAGATGGTGCGAAATGTGAGGCCTACCAAAGCTTGACCCTACTGTCTGAGCATTAGAAGACTCCCGCCAAGTTAGCAAATGAAGGTATCTGAGTTAAGAGCTTTTCCTTGTTCAGTCGGAGGGGAATTTGACATCTGCCTGCCCTAGTGTGCTGGGCACATAGAAAGGGCTCAAAAATTTTTTTTCATAGTTTGGTATAGATCTCAACTGCTTCCGGTTTTCATAGACCAGTCTCCTGCCTACCATACAGAAAAAAATAGATTCAGTCCCACATTTACAGTGAGGCATAATATTCATAAATAGATACGCAGGACAAAAAGGTGTCGATTAATCAATACTCCTTTCTCCATGAATTCAATTGTATTTGTTGGTGGGGAGAAAGTGAAAGGGGAAAAAAAAAAAAACCGCTTTGTCAGAAGTGGGATTCGAACCCACGCCTCCAGGGGAGACTGCGACCTGAACGCAGCGCCTTAGACCGCTCGGCCATCCTGACACGGAAACTCCACCTTTTCTTATTTCACTTTCAGATTACCCCACAGTGCCCTACCATGACGTCAAGTTCTATTGATGCTGCGTTTATTGCTTTAAATAAAACTAGAACTCTCCCTAGGCTCCTTGGCAAAGTACGGAAAATAAAACTGTCTCTGACTCCTCCTTCCTACTTCTCCACCATCCTAAACTGTAAAGATCCATTTTTCCTGGCGCCCTTTCCGGCCGGTCTCCCTTGGACCCTCAGCCAAATCGCTGGTACCGAATCCCACACCCGGCGGATCCAGCGCTGAGGCGCGCCAAGCGGCGGGTCTGGGAGCGCGGATCAGATCAGGCGGCAGGGAAAATCCCCCAGCCACGCGAGGCTTCCGCCTTCCCACCCGCCTCCTCGAACCCTCCACCCCAACCCTCCCCTGTGACTGGCGGACCGACTAGGAGTAAGTTCGGGATCCATCCTCACCAAAGGAAAGCTCCGTGTACCTCGGAATCACAGAACGCCAAGGTCAGGGGGGGAAAGAAAAAAAAAAAAAATCCACGGCCTCCATTTTCCTTATGTATGGAATTCTTAAAAATGTCAGATGTCTGCGTTGGTGGTATAGTGGTGAGCATAGCTGCCTTCCAAGCAGTTGACCCGGGTTCGATTCCCGGCCAACGCAAGTTCTGCTTTTTCCTGGAAGAGCGCGCGGGGTGCCTTTTTAAAAGCTTGAACCCAAACTAGGGACTGCAGGCGCTGCTCTCTCTCGCCGGGGCCCGACTGTCGCGGCAGAGCCACTTTCCCCGCCCCGCTGCGTTTGGGCGGTGTTCTACTCTGAACGCTTTCCTCTTTGCCGCTCCTTCCAGCCTGTCTTTAAACGCCTCCGTCTGCGGAGGAACCTACCCAGTCAGGATGCCGAGTCTCCCCGGGCCCTGCGTACAGGTGCGAGATGTCCTCCCCGGGGCCCTGCGCGTGACATTAGCGGGTGCGTTGGAGGAAGTGCACTTGCAGGTCTACGTCAGTAAACAGATCAATTATTTGAAGTCAATAAATAGACCATTAAAAAAGATGCCCAATTTAGAGGTCGGAGAGTTTACGCTCGGAGCAACTTGGGTATATGAATCCACTTTTTCAACTGTAGACGTTATGAAATCGAAGTACCGATCAAGTTTTCGGATGAAAACTTAACGCCCGAGATGAAAAGTGCTGTCTGTGAGTTTTCAATACATACTGGTTTGAAAACTAAGTACGAAAAAAAAATCTCTATATATTTTTATCTTAGCTGCATGTCGAAACAATATTTTGGAAATCTTGGGTTACTTAAGATGTAGTCTTAAATTATTACATGTTTCTTTTTAATGTGGCTGCAAGAAAATTTAAATTACACAGAGGGCTCTCATTACGTCAGTTTTGTAACGTGTCAGTCGAGACAATCAGCAATCTTTCACAAAAGGAATTGTCCCGGCAACTTAGAAGTAACTTCCTAAACAATGATTTTTGACCCAGAACCGAGGTTTTCCTCGTTAGTATAGTGGTGAGTATCCCCGCCTGTCACGCGGGAGACCGGGGTTCGATTCCCCGACGGGGAGACAAAAACGGCTTCTTTTTCTCCCTTCCTTAGTCTACATTCTCGCTTACCGCAGAAACAAAAGGTTTTCCTAAATAATTTTAGGTTCTCTCCATGAGCATGGTTGTCACCGGTGAATTTCTCGGATGATGGGCGGGAGTACTGGTAGGCACGGTTATTTTGACCCTGGTTCTTAACCCTGCAAAGCAAGTTTCCCTCTGATGCACCGCTGAAGAGGCCTGCCACTGAGTGTAACTTCTCCCATCCCCATGATTTCTTGCTGCCCACTGGAAGAAAATTCCAGGATCCAGGCTCTACCTCGAGCCCTGTATTCCAGATTTTCACTCTCCTTGCCCTCTCCCACCCCAACGACTTACCTCCTTTCTTTCTCCTGGGTATACTGCTATCCACCTATGCCCAGCCCACGTTCTCAAACGTTCGCGCTCTTTCTGCTGCCTTACTACAACCAAGGTGAGCAAACAGAAATGAGCTCTAGTCTGACAATGGGAATACCTGTCCTTTCATCACTAAGCAGCTGTTTGCTTTTGCGCAAGCCATTTTTCTCTGGGCTTCGGTTTCTTCATTTGTAACCTGGAGGAACCAAGCTACAGTGTTTGAGACTCTTTGGGGCTAAAGTCCTTTGAAGTAGTGCCCTGCACTCACAGCTGGCTCATGCTTTAAAAAGATACTATTTTTCCTGAATATAAGAGTAAGATGTAGTCCTTGTAGAAAATATGGGAGATAAGCAAACCACAAAGAAAGAAGAGGCATCCATATTTCCATTACCCAGGAAATCCCTATTAATATTTTGCTGTGTGTTTATGTCTTTGGCATTTTTTAAATGCAAAGTTGGAATCACATTGTGCATATCGTTTTTTAACCTACTAGAGTGTTTACTTAAAGATGTGAATATTTGTAAATTCATTAAATGTTAGTCTAAAACATTATTTTAATGGCTTTGTTGTGCTATATTAAGTGGCCACATCATCATTTCTTTAATGAATCTCCTGTTTTTAAGCATTTTTGTTGCCACGGTGTTTTTCTGGCTCTTCTGGTGGGGCAGCTCTTGAAATCTCTGCTGGGTACTCTTTCACCCCCCAGCCATTACTTTCAGCATGGCCTTGGTGAAATCTGTGGTCAGTCCCTACTCAGTTCAAGGGTGACCCAAAGCTATGAGAGCTTGATTTGCAGATTTGGTTTTCCTGGATGAGACTATCTCTTTTCTGAGTTTGACTTCTTCAATTTCCAGCCAGTCTGGAAGCCCAGTGCGTTGGGTATAAGACTAGTTTTCTGCATTCATTTATGCCCCTGAGTTTCCTGGCGAGTGCTCTCAGGATGAGGATCTCACCCATTGTGATTCCTTCTTCTGGGGCTTGAACGCTCTTTTATTTTCAATCTGATTTGATTGCTATCCATTGTCTTACAGATTTAAAAAAAAAAATATTTTGTCCGGAGTTTATAATTGTTATCTCTGGAGTGGTTAGCACGACGCAAGCTCCTCCACCATGATGGAAAATGAAATTGCTTTTTAATTTTATTCATAGTGTTTCTGAACTTCAGAAGTTTCTAATTTTTATGTAGTCAAATACTTTCCCTGGTATTTTTTTAACTTTTTTTTCATATATAGAAAACTCCTTCCCACCCCAATATCAGATCAGTTTTTGCCCCCCTTTCCTTATAGTAATTTTGTTTCCTTTTGCTTTTTGATATTATCCCTTTAATTCTTTTTGAAATTATTTTGAGATATAACATGGGGTAAGTCTATAACTATTCAATTCATTGAATAGCCCCTCCCTCAACTACTGCTTTGAAATGACATCACTGATGCTACTAATCCATCCACCTCTCTCAAACAAAACAAAACACAAAGTCTGGGACATACTTGACTCCAGTCTCAGCTGGGATCCATGAGACAGTGGTGAAACCAGAAGATATCAAGCTTCCTCTTGGATATTGTGAATGAATGGGAGTCAATGGCTTATGTTTTTTTATGCTGCTGTCCCTTCTTTTCTTGCCCATGTTTTTGATATTCAACTCTGTGAGTGATGTCCCACTCTGATTTCCAAGACCGTTTTGACTCCATCTTGGATTATGAGCTGTTTATCATGAACCCAGTAGATTGCAAACTTTCTCTTAGATAATGTGGATCAATGGGATGGTATAAACTTTCCTCTGATACACCGTGGGGGTCTTTTCCACGGGAATTTGGGAGGAGTCCAACACATGGACCTGGAGCCCTTCCCTCTCCCCACCCCCAGGCTGTCTTTTAAGAACAAAAACATGCACAGACCCTTGCCACAGTTTATCAGAATACATACAACTGTAGCCCACGACAGCATAGCTCTTCAGAGCTTTTCATCCTCTCATTCTCTAACAGTCCTGTATTAGAGGCGGAAGTGGGAACATTACCTGCTTATATTTTAATATATTTTATATATTTAATTTGGTGTTGGTTTTATTTTATTTTATTTTTGCTTTTCAGTTTACTCCCTGTAGTGAATATGTGGATTGGTTTGCTCAACACCCATTCCAGTATCATTCTGGTTTGCTTTCCTGTGCTGTTGAGGCTGGGGAGCTAAACAGGACATGTTCTAGATTCCTCTGCGGCTAAGTTTCTGGTTATGATTTAGGTTTCACCAACTGGATGTCCTTCAGCAAGATTTTGATTTGTAACTGAGTTACATGGGAGAGAAACAGATACAATTTTGGAGGTGTAAAGAGTGGCCAATGCAGCTTTGTTCTAGAGCAGAGACTGGAAACAGCAGAAGCTTTGTTATTTGCTTTGTAGCAGTTTTTGCTGGATAGTGTGGTAGCCCTGTATACAGAATAGTCTAGGGAGTTATTCCTGGAAGTCAGCCTCGAGTCTGTTTCCTCAGTCTTCCTAATGCCTGGTGAATTATCTGTAGCCCTCAGTAAATCCTTTTGTATTTAAATAAGCTAGAGTAGATGCTGTTGTTTGCGATTAAGAACCTTACCGTGCTCATCCTTGAATGAGAAGCAATCTAAGTAATCTATCTAGATCTGGTGTCTCTTTCTCCCAATAAGGAGCAACCCTCATTCTGGATTTTATGTGTATTCTTTCTTTGGCTTTTGTAATAGTTTCAGTGCATGTGTATGTGTTATCAAATATATATATTATTTGGATTTTCATGCTTTTAAAATTTATGTAACTGGTATCAGATGGTACACAGTCTTTTGCAACTAGCTTTCCCCCCCTTTTTACTAAGTATTATTTTTATAGGATTCATTTATGTTGAGACACATAGCCATGAATGGTATTCAGAAGATTTTAAACAGTTGCAGGATTATATATTTCAAGGATTCCCTATTAGTCCTTAAGTAGATAGATAGATGATAGATGGATAGATAGATAGATATGTGTGTTTATGTTTCTCATAAAACTGATTTCTGGGTAATGTAAGTTGTAGTGCAAATACTATGTCAACCTTCCAAATCATCTCCAAAAAATTTGATTTTTAATAATTGTTGGTTTTGTTTGCTACAGCTGTCAGCAGCTAAAAGCTGCCTCTATCTGAGCCCTGGTTTAACATGGGGAACTGCATCAACTTCCTGCAATTTCTTTCCAATAGGTTGATAGTCATTAGGTGACTTGTCTGAATAAGTTGAAATTGTTTTCCTAAAATTAGGAAAGGGTGGGTATTAATGATACTGCATCCTTTGTCATCTGCTGTTGAACCAACAACAACTGTAATACATTTTTTTCTAGTCTTTAAAATATTGTCTGTGGGGCATCTGGGTGGCTAAGTCAGTTGGGTGTCTGACTCTTGATTTTGGCTCTGGTGGTGATCATGGGGCTCTGAGCTCAGCAGGGAGTCTGCTTGGGATTCTCTCTCTCTCACTCTCCTTCTGCCCTCCCCACACCCCTGCTCGCACTTTATTACTAAAACAATTATTAATGGTGGGAGGATGTTTGGAGTTTAGAAAAAAGACAACCTTGTCCCATGAATTGAAGTTAAAATACAATAAATACAGTTGCGGAAAAGAGGCACCTGCCCCTCAGTCACCCTTGAGCCCCACATTTCCCCCATGGTCCAGTCTGCCTCACAGCCTCCATCCTACCACAGGATGGCCACAACACTTGGCTGATGCTCTCAGTGTGACCCATTACTGCCTGTCTGCTCTCTGTTATTTCCGGACTCTTGGTACCAAGGTTGGGTGGAGGCTTCAGTTCCCACAAGTGGCCACAAGCAAGGGTGACTACAGAGTAGTACTGAGGGGTAGTGGGCAGCCACAGTCTCTTGGGGGGGGCCAAATTGACACTGGACTCTTTTGTTACCTGGACCAGGGTTCAGGTGGCCCTGTCCTGGGAGACAAACAGGGACAGGGACCTATAACCAGGACTCGCAGTAGGTTGGCTTAAATTGGACCTGCAGGTTGGGAGGCATTGAGTGGCCTCTGGGCAATGCCCACGTAGAGTTTCCTAGAGTTGGCCAGCAGTGGTATGGGGACTGGCTTTTTGGGGTGTCCAGGGAGAGCCAAAGCAGACCCTAGAAGATGACTCTTTCTGAGGGAAGTTAATTGTTATAGCCCTGACCAATCAGCATGTAACTGCCTGTACATTTCCCTCCTTGTAACAGGATTAACTGCATTCCAAAAGTTGCCTGTTTTTTTTTTTTCTAACAGATAATATTTAACAGAAAATACTGTTTAACACATATGCTAAACATTGAAGGTTGGTATAGTGTTCCTTTTCCCTCGTGCACATGTAAAACCTTGAACAATCCACAATTCGGGTATGTTATATTTTTATTACTCTTCAATCTAAGTATTTTTCATTTTCCATTCAATTTCTCTTTGATCCATGAGGTATTTAAAAAGCATGGGTTTTAAATTTTCCACATATATGAGGGTTTTATTTTTATTATTTTTAAAGATTTTATTTATTTATTTGACAGAGAGAGAGATAGTGACAGCAGGAACACAAGCAGGGGGGAGTGGGAGAGGGAGAAGCAGGCTTCCTGCAGAGCAGGGAGCCCCATGCGGGACTTGATCCCAAAAGCCTGGGATCATGACCTGAGCCAAAGGCAGACACTTAACAACTGAGCCACCCAGGCAGGCCTATATGAGGATTTTAAAAGATATTTTTTTTTTGTAATTGATTTCTGAGTTAAACTGCATTATGTTCAAAGAATGTGTTCTATATAGTGCCAATTCCATGATGTATGTTAAGACTTGTTTTATGGCCTCATATAAAGTCAATTTTTGTAAATGTTCTATATGCATTTGAGAAGGATGTATAACCAAAAATTATTGGTTGCAGAGTTGTAAATATATATTAAACGAAGCTTACTGTGTTCATATGTTTAATTTTTTTTTCTCTGTTTGACCTATTGAATGCTGAAAGTAGTATGTTGAATTCTCTCACCATAGAATTTGAAGATTCACTGTAAATGAAATTGTCAATTTTCCCTTGTAGGTCAAATATTCCTGCTTTTATATTTTAATGCTGTTTTATTAGATACATATATTATTTATTTATTATATGTTCATCATGAGTTTAGTCTTTTATTGCCATCTGGTGACCATCTCCATTCCTCGTGATGCATCATTTCTTACACTTTATTTTGTCTGATATTATATAGCTATATGCCAACTTTCTTTTTGTTAGACTATTCCTGGCATATCTTTTTTCCATTCTTTTTCCATTCTTTTTCATTCAATCCTTCTGTTTTTTTAATGTTTTAATGTCATTTTTGTAAAACAGGATAAAATAGAAAATATATTTTTTAAAAAATCCACTTTAACTGGCAAATTTTCTCCATTTCTATACATTGTGACTACTGATATATTTGGATTTATTTCACCATCCCATTTTGTGCTATCTTTTTCATGCCTCAGTTTTTCTTTCTTTCTTTTTCTTTTTGGCCTTCTTTCGGATCGCTGTTATGTGTCCACGCAAAGGGAAGCATAGGAAACGTATCTGTGTTTAGAATAAACTGGAAAGTAATTTTTAATTCCTGCTGCCAATCCAATAAAAGAGGTGAAAGTGAGAGTAGTGGTTCCTAAACTTGCACTTCGCTGATGAGTAAAATTTCCCCTAAAATGTTGGTGGTCAATACAGAGTTGCCAAATTTTTATTTTACCAAGTTAGGAAATTTAGAAAACAACCACAGCCACAACTATCACCTATCCTCACCATAATTTTATAAAGTAAAGAATATTTAAAACCAAACTTCTAAAGTGTAAAAAAAAAAAAGGGTAGTCTCAATGCAGAGATCATTTGGGGAACTTATCTGAGATAGATACACACACACACACACACACACACATACACAACTGATGCCCATGCCCCTCTATCTACATTAGTGTGTACGCTCATTTCACCCAACATCACTGGGAACTTTGACCTGCACCTAAACTGGAGCAGAGGGCGGGGGTGTAGAAGGAAGAGAAGGTTCTGGGTGGAGGCTGGGGAGGGGCCCCCAGAACCAGCCACACTCTGTGGGTGCCTGGGTGCGGCAAAGAACGGTGGTAGAGCGGTTGGGTGTGCCTGTGGCTGCGAAACGGGCCAAGAACCAAGAGAGGAGCTTCCCTCCAGGCAGGAGAGAAGAGGAGGCCCAGCCCTGACCAGGATCCCTGGCCTGATGATGTTGGATGCGGGGTCTCTGCCCTCGGATATTTAGATCCGGATATTTCAGTGTGAAAGTCCTTAAGTCATTGGCATTTATAAACTGTGTTCTGCCCGGGTGCCTAATACGCTAGTGGAAACCTTTCAAAACAGCTGGGGCTGGAGATTAGTCTCGGTCTATTAGGCTCCCTTGTGCCGGGCAGGATCGGACACGTGATGCCGTATTTTAAATATTCACAGTAACAAGCTGACACGAACACATAAATTGTCTAGATCAGCAAAAAAAAAAAAGTTGACTGTACTTTCCGGAGCAAAACCAAGGGAACTCGCGAGCCCAGAGAGCCTTCGTTAGGGCTTCCCCAGAGACCTCGGCTGCTCCGGCTTCTCGGCCTCGTCTGGGCGGGCACTGAGGCCGGTCCCAGGCCTAAGCAGGTGCCAGCGCGGGGGAAAGCCCTGCTTCGCTCGGGCCGCCCGGTGCGCCGGAAGGGCACCAGCCCCGCCCGAGTTTTGGGGCGCAGGAGGAAGCAGTACGAATGTTCTCTGCGGTGAACTGACTTGGCAGAGGAGCCTGCCCTCGCCTGTCTCTGTGGCGCAATCGGTTAGCGCGTTCGGCTGTTAACCGAAAGGTTGGTGGTTCGAGCCCACCCAGGGACGGGAATTGAGCGTTTTGAACCCGGGTTGTGTCTCTCGGGGCGCGGAAGCCGCGGAGTTCTGGGCGCTGCTCTCCGGTTGTCACTCTCCCGCCCCCCTGGGTGTTTCCTGGCCATCGGTCTGCAAGATCCGCCCTGCGGTTGGTAGCAAGGCCTTTAAGTGGCTTGACTAGAACCCTGGTTGTGTCTCTCCGGGCGCGGAAGCCGCGGAGTTCTGGGCACTGCTCTCGGGTTCTCACTCTCCCGCCCCCCTGGGTGTTCCCAGGCCGTCGGTCTGCAAGATCCATCCTGCGGTTGGTAGCAAGCCTTTTAGCGGCTTGACTTAGGTATTAACGAAAACTGCCCCTTGAAACTGATGTTTTTTAAAAATGTTTGCCGACCAAAGGAAGCAAGTACTGCTAAGCCAAAGATGAATTCGTTAGCACATCTGTGCCTGCCTTGCCTTTGTGCTTGGATTTCCTTACTCATGAAACAGGCGTGTCCGGAACCTGGGCCCCTAGTCATGCTGAGCCCTACTGCTTACCCGTGTCTGGAGAGAATGCCTTCTAGCTTTTCAGTAGGCACCTTCCTCTCCAGCCTCGTGGCCTTTCACATCCTCACCACTTCCCCCTTGGATTACTGCAGTAACTACCCGGCTTTCCGGGGTGGGGGGGGTTCCTGTCTTCAACCCCCCATCCCTTCTTTCCTCCTCGTAGCTGCCAGAGAGGCTTCCTAAAATGCAAACTTGTTCTGCTTAAAATCCCTCAAAGGATTGCTTGGCTGGCTGGGGCGCTCCTTAGCTTGGAAGGCAGTGCCTTTCATGATTCTGAACTCGCTCCTCTCCCTCCCTGGCTCTTTACACTAGAAAACAGCTAAACTACTTTCTTGAGCCCTACTCTGGCTTTTGAATCTTTGCCTGGCAAACTTCTCTTCAGCGTCTGTCCCCCTTGCCTGACAAACTCCTACTCATCCTTCACCACCACAAAACTAAGCCTCTGCAGGCTGTTCTTCATTCCCTCCTCTGGGCTTTTCTCCCTAGAATGAAAGCTCGTCCAGGAATGTCCCCATGTTGTTCATCTCTTTATCTTCAGCACCTAAGCCCAAGCTCGGGGCATCATAAGTACTAAGTAGATGTGAGTTGAAGATTTTATTTATTTGTTTGAGAGAAAGATATAGAGAGAGAGAGCATGAGAGCGGGGTGAGGGGCAGAGGGAGAAGCAGACTCCCCGCTGAGCAGGGAGCCTTTCCCCGAGCTTGATCCTGGACTCCTGGATCATGACCTGAGCCCAAGGCAGACATCCAACCGAGCCACCCAGGCCCCCTAGATGTGAGTTGAATGGGGTTTCCCCATGCACTTGCCTCATGTCTGGATCTCATGTAATATTCAAACCTCAAACTTGAATCATGTTGGCATGTAGCTCATAAATGACACCTAACTAACCTATACCTCTGTCCAGGCCCCTATGTCCTTCCTGGGGATGCCTTCTGGCCACCACCTGCTCGGAACTAACTCTAACAGCCACCCACCCTCCCATCCCACACCACCTGTAAAAGTCCCCTTCACCCAGTTGCCTTAGCAAGATTGGCTGAGTCTGCAACTGGTTAATTCGTGTGAGCTGTGCGGATATGATTTCGTTAACCCAAACTCATCCCCGGTAGAATTTTGGACAGCAGGAGGAAAAATGGATTTTACCATTCAGGTCTTATTATCATGGTTTTTCCATCTTTGGAGAGCAGCATGCAAGATCTTGTTCAATGTTTTATTGGAATCAAGAAATGCTCTGTTTAAAGCTTCTAATACAGAAAGAGACAGCTAAGCTTTCTTCCACAAGCCACGCTCGTGATTTCAAAGTCTCAGAGTTTAACTCAGCAGAGTACATTTAGTATCGCTTATCCAGCATTTGGTGGATGAATGATGCGAAGCTGGAGGGGGAGCTGTATTAAATACTGAAGCAGAAAGCTGGTCATAGTCCCCGCATCTCCTCTCTCTAATTCCTACTATCCTGGCCCACAATTGTCCTCATGTCCTGCCCATTGCCTCCTGAACAGCTGTCGTTGACTCTTTCTTGTCATGCTTTCTCAGTTCAGACCCAGAGCGATCTCTGTTCACTGAGCTTAATCTGGGACAGCAATGTGGCTCTCCTTCCTATGGACACAAAGTTTGATCTGCTCTTTCTTTTCCAAGACCCTCCCATCCCCAACCCCTTTCCGAGAGCATTTTCTACTCATGACGGACATCAAGAGCATTCATCATTAAATATTCACACACCATCCCAGTTCTGACAGGGGCTCCCCTGAAAAATCAATTCTACATCACCCTGTGATTTTTCTGTACCTACACCACCGCTCACGTTCTAGGAAGACAGCCCAGGCAGGGGTCTCCCCTGGTCCGTCCTGGACTGCCTTGCTCTTTCTCAGCCACCCCCTTCGCTGGTTCTGCTATCTCCCCTAAGCCCTCAACAGCCCCCACAATCTATATGGAAGGGGTTTTAGGGTGGCAGCAACAGATGTAGACCACGACCCAGCTGGCCCTCGTCCATAACTCTCTTATCTACTTATCCTGTTATTTAAGAACAAGTTCATACATTGGGTCACCATCCAGAGTCTGCATTGTGGCTTTGCTGTGACAGACAGTTGGGCAGAGAAAGTATCTGCGTAGTTCTGAGAATTCAAGTCTGAGTACTGTGTCTACTCACTGGGGCTTCATGGTTGGCTCCTAGAGATCGCAGACTCTTCCGTTCCAGCAGAGACCAAGACAAAATGGAGTTGAGTGGAAGATCCTCAGCCTAGACCCTGATGTGCAGTTTTCCTGCTGTTCCCAGAGCTGCCTGGTGGGGATGATGGGGTTGTGAATCCAGAAAGAGGCTCAAAGGTGCTGCTTTTACTACCCCCATTTGTCCTAAGGGCCCTGTTTCCAGGAGACTTTGCTGTTTTTCCAGTCCCTCATTGATTTATGAAGGTCTCTCTGCACAGCAAAATACAGCCCCGTGTCCACTGCAAATAGGAGTACCATCACCAGGGAGAAAGGGATTTGGGGCCAATGTAGGAGTGGTGAGGTGGATGGAACTGCTGAACCTAATGGGAGAAGCAGAGGGATGAGAAAAATGACACTTGTTAAGGCAGAAATTTGGTGTCCAATTCTTTCCTTTTATCTAGTGGTTAAATAAATATAAAGGTCTGGGGCCCCTGGGTGGCTCAGCTGGTTAAGGTCTGCCTTCAGCTCAGGTCATGATCCCAGCGTCCTGGGATCGAGCCCCAGATCGGGCTCCCTGCTCGGTGGGGAGCCTGCTTCTCCCTCTCTCTCTGCCTACACCTCCCCCTACTTGTGCTCTCTCTCTCTGTCAAATAAATGAATAAAATCTTTTAAAAAAAAAATAAAGGTCTTTGAATCTTTGGTGTGATCTTAGAGACACATTAACGCGCCCCCCCATTATCCCCCCAGTTACAGTTACTTCATCTGTAAGGTAGACTCAATAATACCTATAACCTCATAATGTTGTGGCGAGGAGGGGGTCACTGTGATGGTCAAACTGGGTGCATGGAAAGAAGCACTTAGTGGGGTGTCCAGCACACTGAAAGGTGCCCGATAAACGTCAACTCATCTTTGTTACAGAAGGGGAACTTGAGACTCAAAGAGACTAATGGTTTATGCACTGTCACATGATTAATGAGCAGCAGAGCCAGGACCCAGTTTCCATGCCCTCTCTGTGAGCCAGTGAGGGGCGCCCACCAGGTTGGTTCTTGGCTAAGACTTGAGGCTTGGAGAGGAAAGGAGGGCAGTGAAGATGGGCTATCACTGTAGGGACACATAACATTATGGGCATGGTGTGACTGGGGCAAGGAGGGACAGGTGTACTTATGGGGCAGGAAATGTGGCTTTTGTTCATGCAGAGTCAATGATACCCCTCAGAACCCCTTGTAAAGAAGCCTGTGGAATATTCCAGAATCTCCTTTCCACTCATCTTCACAGTCTGAGTGCAGACTCCATCCATGCCCAGGGGGTGCTGGACCCTCCGGGGCTGTGCAGCTCTTACCTTGAATGATGATGTCCACAGGCTCTGAAGACTCGTTTTTCTTCCCAATAAGTCCCCTGCAGAAGTAGGAGCCACTGTGTTTGCTTGTTGCTGCTGGAATGTGGAAGTCAGAATTACCATAAGAGAACTTCTTGCTTTTTCCATTCTGGAAATATTGAACGTTCCGTACGGGCTTGTTCTTCCAGCTGTGGCACCTCAGCCTAATGGGCTCCCCCTCCTGGAACACCTGCCGAGGGGCCCAGAGCAACAGCCAGCCTGAAAGACACGAAGGCCACCGGCCCAGAGGCCTCAGCAATCAGAGCCAAGACCTTGGGAAGGGGAAACTCACCACCCAGATCCTGGGGCGCCATGGAGAGCCAGCCTGGGAGCCATCCCTGCAGAGCTTGCTTCAGGAAAAAGCCCACTGGGCCCTGCAGGAGAACTCATGTCACACTAAGACTTTTTGTCTAAAGGGGAAGAGGGACACACAAATCAAACTGTAAGGGTAGAGCAGAGGGACTAAGGGAAGAGGTAGGGGGGAAGCCATCTGCTGGGTCCTTAGGGCTGCCCTGGGATTTGCTATGGCAGGTAAGGCTATAAGCAGCCACCGTAAGTTCTAGGTCAAAGAGTAAAAATTGCATTTGAAAATGATGATTTGTGGGGTGCCTGGGTGTCTCAGTTGGTTGAGCGTCTGACTCTTGGATCCAGCTCAGGTCATGACCTCAGGGTCGTGGGATCGAGCCCCACATCAGGCTCCATGCCCAGCACAGAGTCTGCTGGAGATTCTCTCTCTCCCTCTACCCCTCCACCCACGCACGCACGAGCTCTCTTTCTTTCTCTCAATAAATCAATAATTTAAATCTTAAAAAAAAAAAAAGAGGATTTGCTCCATTAAAGGAAAGGTTGAGGGGCGCCTGGGTGGCTCAGTTGGTTAAGCGTTTGCCTTCGGCTCAAGTCATGATCCCGGGGTCCTGGGATCGAGCCCCGCATCGGACTCTTCGCTCCGCGGGAAGCCTGCTTCTCCCTCTCCCACTCCCCCTGCTTGTGTTCCCTCTCTTGCTGTGTCTCTATCTGTCAAATAAATAAATAAAATCTAAAAAAAAAAAAAGATTACGGTTATAAGAATACATATAGTTAGCCTGGTGGCCTTTGGGCCAGTCTGTCCTGCCATGGACTTCATGAATGTCCATATGTACATCCATTCAGCAAAGATTTGGTGGAGCACTCACTAATGTACCAGGTGTTGTGCAGTCTGGGGTTACCCGCTGACGAAGACACATGATCCCTAACCTCAAAGAATCTGTAGACCCAACATAGAAAAACACATACGCAGAAATAATTCCAACACAGTGTGCTACCACAGACGAAGAACAAAGGTCTCGAGGGCCAAAGAGAATGGCACAAAGAGGACTTCTCAGAGGAGAAAGTGAAACGAGTCTTGAAAGATGATCGAGAGTTTTTCCTGGTGAAGTTAGTGCTCATGGTCACAGCTTAGTACAATCCTCATTGACGGGACTTCCAAGGCCAGGTTCTAGATCGAACTCCAAGGCAAACTAATAGCTCCCAGGCTTGATTTTTCTAATAACCCATTTTATTTGGTCTAAGGTAGCCATGCCTCACCTAGCTCGAGAACAAACATTCCTCCCCATAACTCTGTAGCATGAAGACCGTGTTAGCTACGTGGTGGTCAGAGGCTAAGGAGCCACAAAAGTCAGCTTCAGAGGCCGAGTTCTGTGAAACTCTTTGCAAGTCAGGCCCCCCTTCCCCTCCAGGCTCCTTCCACCCATACACATGGTGCCCCTAAGGCAGCCATTGAAGTAGCGTCAGGCTTGAGAGGGGAACACTGCAGGTACTGGGCCAGGTGCTGTGATTCCAGGGAGAGTAGGACATAGCCCTGCCTCTGACATCCTTCCCTCACCTGTTTCTGATGCCTGCATTCTGCAAACAATGCTAAAGACTTCCGTTCCATGACCAGTGTGCAGGCTGAACATGTCTCCATCCCCACCAGGAGAGTTACGCTGAAGTTTAAGTTTGAGTGTGGTATTGATGCGGACGGGGAGGCAGATAGGACCCTGGGCCATTTGGAAGGGTTTGGAGGGTCACTTAGGGCATTGTGCGTCTGAGAGTCAGATGGAGATGGAGGTCATAAAAACAGAACCATTAATTTATTCAATAAATATTAGTGCGCACTAACGGCACGGCCTGACCTTCAGGTGACACCATTCTCTTGGGTACGTTCTATGTTAACGGTGGTTGCTGGGACTGTGCCCTGCAGGGTCCCGGGTCCATTAGGCACCAGCTTTTGACATTTTGCTCAAGTGCTGCTTGGAGATAGGACTACGACTCTGATATAATTCAGGGTGGCCACAGATCATCTCGTCTCAGCTTTAACCCCCAAGTCTCGGGTCTTCTCAAGTCTTCCACTTCCACCCTCTATTGGCAAGTCCCCTCTTCCCCTTCGCCCACTCACCCATGTGGACTTCGAGCTGCACGGGGTCACTGAGTTCGGAGAGGCCCTTCCGGCACCTGTACTCGCCGCTGTTTTCAACGCTGGCAGCTTTGATGAAGTAGCTGGCTTGATTTGAGATGAGGGTCCCATTGTGCAGCCACTGGGTGGAATTGTCCCCAAGGGGATAGGTCCCCTGGCACTTGAGAGTCACATTGTCCAACGTGAGGATCCTATTGTATGGAGGCTCCAGAACCACCACAGCCTTTGTGAGGTTTGCTAGGGAGCCAAGAGAAGGTGGATTAGGGCAGGGAGGGGAGCGGACCCTACACCAGCATTCCTGGGGAGGCTCAGAGCCAGAGTGAGCCCATTGCAAACCCACGCTTGGCGACTCCGCCTTGGTTGGTGACTCTGACTCAGAACATCTTGGCTTCAAGGCACTTAGCCCTGTTTCTGGCCTCTCATTATCCTGAGGAAAATTAGCCAGAGAAGCCTAGGGCCAAGCCTGACTGTACTGGGGAAGTGCCCCCTGACAACCCCACACCAACGATTTCCCACGTGGTGCGCGTTTCCCAGGGTCCCATGGCTGTTACACACTGCGTGCCTAGCTGGATCCATCCGAGACCACAAAGCAAACTCACCAGCTTGTGTGCCAGCAGAAACTGCAAAACAAAAGGGCGAAACAAATGCTGAGCAGAAGTGGAGATCAGGGGGCTGGAGGGTGGAAGGGGTGTAAATTCCCCCGCCAGCCCCTGCCTTGGGAGTCCTGTGTCGCCAAGAATCAAGGTATGTACGGTGGCTACCTTTCCCGCTGCTTGCCTTCTAGTCACCAGTGTCGATGCCTCCTGTCTTGCCTTCCACCCACATCCCTGCTTTCAACACCACTCCTTTCCTCCTTAGTCCCTCTTCAAACTTCCAAAACAAGGGTACAGACTGAATTTCCCTGAATCAAGCCAGAGACACCACATCAACCCAAGTCCTCCCACAAAGGTGGAAATCAGGTCTTGGAGGGGAACCCAGGGATGTCAGAGCAGAAGAGACAGAACTTAGGGACCATCTATCTGGTCCACAGCCTTCAATTTACAGATAGGGAAACTGAGCCCCAGCAGGGTGAAGGAACAGAGACCTCCCAGTCCCCCTTGGCTTCCTGGTTATGCCCAAATCAGAGCCTGCATTCTCATCTCTAGCCCCCCAAGGGTTTGTCCTGGGAGCTCGATTGAGCGCTCTGCATGTGGTAAGGGGTCCTATTCCTTGGTAGGGGTCCTCTCCCCGGCCTGAAAAGTGGGCTCTGCTGAACCCAGGGCATCTGGAGCTTCTCTCTCAGCCCAAGTGACTCTGACTTACCTAGGAGCAGCAGAGCCGTTGAGGGCAGCAACTGCCTCATGCTGCCACATCAGAGTGAACAAGTCACCTCGGATACACTGAGCCCTTAAGGGACGCAGCTGACTTGAAGAGAGGAAGTAAATAGTCTTTCCCCACCCCCCAGCTCATTACTCTCTAGGTTCCTTTTCCCAGAACGTCATCTGATTTCTGAACCAGAATTCTGACAAGTGAGCCCCATGATAGGGCAGGAAAGGGGAAGAAAAAAATCTGGAAGAGAAGCTGAGGGGGAATGTCCCCCTTGGGGGTCCACATAGGTCTACAGGTGAGCATCTAGTGACACAGAGGCTGTCAGAATGCATCTGGTAAATCTCAAGATATTTCCCCCCCACCTGGTGGGTTTGGATCCACTCAGTGCCAAAGACAAGATAGCAGGACCCTGGAGATGAGACTAGAGAGGGAGAGCTGGTTCTACTTCAGAACTTGTCACTGCCCAGACCTGGCCTGATCCAGCCTGGACCTGCCTGCTACATTGAAATCTTCAAACCCCTAGAAAGCATCCCTCCCTCGAGGGTTATCTCCACCAGCATATTTTTCAAAATTCAAAATGCATGTGCCTTGGGATCCGCAATGCACTTCTTAGAGTGAATTTGACCCTGAGATTCACACCCCCTGTTAAAGGAAACCCGAGCAGTGGGGGAGGAATGGAGCCCTGGCGGTGGGGTGGGGGATGTCACTGATTGGTTGCAGGGAAGGCAGAGAAGGAGGAATGGAGGGGAGGAGAGGACAGGAGCGCTTTACAATCAACCCACCATTACCAGGGCTCTGAGCTAAGTCACCGCAGCTCAGGTGAGCTCAGCCCCTCGGGGACCCACCGGACCCACCGGGCCTGGGCTGGCCTGCGCTCCTTATTGAAAAAGGTGGAGGTGCAGCGGCGGGGAAACCATCAGATTTCGAACCTGTTCTGCGCTCCCTAGATGCACCCCCTCCCCAAAACATGCACCTTCGTACCCTCCCCCTCCTCCCCTCCCACCTTGTTTAAATCCAGGTCTCAGACAAAGAATCAAATGGCTCTGCTTGGCAGTGCCACTGCCCCAGTGGGTTCCTGGACATCTGGGACAGGTCTCACTCGAAAAAGCCTTGGAAAAGGCCGGGAGGTGAGCAGCAGACAGGTGTGAGGTTTGGCAGCGGTAGAGGGGCGGCGGGGCCGGCACGGGTGCCTGCTGGCCACTGCTTGGGGACCAATGCCCCTGTCCACTCCAAAGTCATATAAAAACCACCTCTCAGGATTTTGTTTTGTTTTGTTTTGTTCCTAGTAGAGTTCATTGGTGCCCCCCTCCCACCCACCCGCCGCCTTCATGCACTCTTGCAGCAGCCCCTCCCCCACAGGCCCTGGGGCTTGATGTCTGGTTAGGGTCCCCCCGGGACACGAACCCCGCAGCCATTCTAGCGCTCCCTCTCACGCACCGCGTTTACACCTTGCAAAATCCAGACCAGCATCTGAAAACGTAAAGCCCCCCACTATGCACTTCAGATGCTTCTCTTTGGGAAACCTAGGCCCGGGGAGTGCCCCACCCTTCCCGGGGGCGGGGGGGGTGCTGTGGAAAGCTTCCGAGGTGAAGGGGGACCCGCCCGGCCCCGCGCTCTCTGTTCTTCACAGTCCTGCGTGGCTTTCTCGCACGTGGCTCGCGGTTCGCGGCATCCACTTTAGTCTGCCTTCTTTGCAGTTCTATTATCTCCTCGGACTCATCTTCTGTCTGCGGTCTTCACGTGGAGGGAGGAATTGTTGGCTGCGGAGGATGGGCGATAGGAAGCAGGGAGCCCAGAAGGACTGCTAGAGTGGGGAGCACTCTGCAGGTTTTCGTCAAGTGCTTACTGAGCCAGCCTCAGCTTGAGCCTGGGGCTGCAAGGGCTAATTTTATGGGGTAGCTAGAACGCACAGTTTTCAAAGGACAGATGGTCTTGGGATAGCTTATGCTGGAGTGCTTGTTTGTCTCCAAGCTTGCTTTTTCTTTTCTCCCCTCACTGTTGTTTTTTCCTCTCTCCCTTCTTCTCTCCCCTTACTTTCCCTTCACAATTGACATGCCAGCCACAGCACAAGGTTCTGAGATGACCAGGCCAGTTAGTTTTCATCCCCCTATACTCACACTTGTGTAGGGGAGACCACCAGATAAGGGCCTGCAGTGCCAGAGGGACCGTGAGAGTATTTGCAAAATCCTGTTTTATGTTCAGTAGGAAGGTTTTGAGGAAAGGCATTTCAGGCAAACAGGGAAGCATGAGCAAAGATGGAGGGAAAGAGGCTGCTGGCATGTTTGCAGAGTTGGGTATAGCTCCACAAGATTTGTGAGAACCACAAAGGAGAAGCACAAGCTAAAAGTTTAAGGGTGGGGTGCCTGGGTGGCTCAGTCGGTGGTTAAGCATCTGCCTTTGACTCAGGTCATGATCCCTGGGTCCTGGAATCGAGCCCTGCACTGGGCTCCTTGCTCAGCGGGGAGGCTGCTTTTCCCTCTGTATGCCCCTCCCCCTGCTTGTGCTCTTGAGCTCTCGCTCTGTCAAATAGATAAATAAATAAAATCTTAAAAAAAAACTGTGCAAGATGAGAGGTGAAGGCCTTCCCTGGTGATGCGAATGAAGTTGTGACCCCTCCATCCCCTTACTCCTTTAAGAGCTTGTGCTTTTCCTTTGTAGTACTCATCAGATTTCGGTTGGGTCTGTGAGGGCAGGGATTCTGTTCCTCTTGTTTATATTGTATCCCCAGCATTTAGCACAGTGCCTAAAACATACTTGGCACTCGGTATCTATGGAGTGATCACGAAGGACTTTCTATGTCATGGTGAACAGTCTATACCTTCTTAGATTGCTTTCAGAATAATTTTTATAAAATATAAAACTGATTATCAATATTTTAAGCTGGGGAATGACATGATCAGTTTTACGTTTTATAAAAATTACTCTGATAGAAGTCCAATAAATAAACTGGAAAGGAGAGAGATCAGAGGTGGAGAGAAGAGTTGGGAAGTTATTTTGACAGTCTAGCCAAGAGGAGATTCCCTGTTAAAGAAGTGGAAATGCAACGGAAGCCTCTAAGAGAGATGTGAAGAAGGTAGAACGGACAGGCTTTGGATGAGTGATTGGCTATGAGGGTAACAGAGAAGGAGGGGTCTGGCCGATGCACAGCTTTTTGATCTGGATGATGAGGAAGATGGTGGTACATTTCATGGACATAAGAAATAAAGGAAGAGGAGCAGGCTTTGGGTGGGGGGAGATAATGATCCCAGCTCTTGATCTTATTGAGTTGGAGGTAGTTTTGATTTCAGGTGAAGATTCCAAGTAGGCAGTTGGGCATATGGCCTGGGAACTCAGAAGCAGGTCTGGACAAAAGACAAGATTTAGGAGGCATCAACATGGTGTTTTAAACTTTTGATAAAGGCTTTAGTCCTTTTCCTAAGAAAAAATGCAAATAAATATACAAATAAATTTCCCTATAATTTAAGAAGTTCCATGTGAAGCCCATCCAGAGATCCTAGGTTCAGATATAATATGGGTAAGATCTCTCTGAGTATCGAGTGAGAAAAAAGGGGACCTCCAGTGAGGGAAGGAAGTAGAGTAGATGGGAGGGTGGGGTGGGAGAAGGGGAGCAATGACAGAAACTTGGCACACAGCAACTTTTGCAGAGTGTGAAGAGGAAGAACAGCTGACAAAGGAGATTGGGGAGGAGGGGTTAGAGAAGAGAGGAGAATAGGGAAGCCCAGGCAGCAGAGACCTTTAAGGAGGCAGAAGTCAACAGTATTAAGAGCTGTAGAAAGTTCAAGAAGTCCTTTCAATGTGGCCTTCTGGGACCTATTTGTGACCTTTGCCTAAACAATTTCAAGGGCTGTGGTTGGGGGACAAAACTGATAACTTTTGGTTGAAGATTGAGTAGAAGTGAAAAAGCGTTTTCATGAATTACTACTCCTTCTGAAGATCTCTGTTATGAAGGCATCGTGGACCTTTGTCGAGGCTGTCCAGGGGCTTTGTCGGGGCTGTCGGGGATGTCGCCTTCGTATCAGCATCTCATTCTCCCTTGAGGAAGCCCCCACTGTGAGTAGTCTTAATAGAAAGTGGTGACTGGTTTCTGCTACGTAAGCCAAGTGGGCCAGATCCCCCTTTCCCCTGCCTTGGGCCAGTGTTATGTGCTAAGCTGTGTCTCTCACAAATTTATATGTTGAAGTTCTAACCCCGAGTACCTCAGAATGTGACTGTATTTGGAGACAGAATCTTGGAAAGGTCATTAAGTTAAAATGAAGTCATTAGGATGCGTCCTAATCCAATATGACTGGTGTCCCTACAAGAAGAGAAGGTTGACACAGGCACAGAGGGAAGACCGTGGGAAGACAGAAAGAGAAGATGGCCGTCTACAAGCCAAGGAGAGAGGACTCAGAAAAAAACCAACCCTTGAGCTCAGACTGTTAGCCTCCAGAACTGTGAGAAAATAAATTTCTGTTCTTCAAACCACCCGGTCTGTGGTACTTTATTACATAGCAGCCTGAGCTGATTCAGACAGGAAGCCAAGGAGCATTCATGTGGTCTAGGCTTGGCCAACTTGTCTCTTCTGGAATGTTGAATCCCAAACAAGTGACACTTATTCACCTGTAAGGGAGATTCATTCATAAGGGAAGGAGATGGCTGACAACTAATCATCACAACAGGAGAGGGATGACCTGCCTCCAGTTTCCATCCAGTAAATTCCTTTCCTTTCCTTAATATGCCTAGATTCTGAGACAGTTGTTTACAGTCAAGAGCCCTGAGTGATACAGTAAGAAAGGAAAATCAGAAGATGGTAACTAGAGGGGATCAAGGAAAGAAAAGGAGATTTTGTTTTGTCTTAAGGGAGAGACTTGAACTTATCCACAGGTCATTTAACTTTCTTTTTTTTTTTTAATTTTATTTATTCATTTGAGACACAGAGATACAGACAGAAAGAGAAAGCATGAACAGGGGGAGAGGCAGACAGAGAGGGAGAAGCAGGCTCCCCGCTGAGCCAGGAGCCTGATGTGGGGCTTGATCCCAGGACCCTAGGATCAT